TTACTTGTATCAAAGATGTCAAACAAATATGATAAGATTGATAACTAAGTTGAGCACGAAGCTCCTATCTAAATGGCAGATGTGCCAGTCTTATATAGAACCTTCGTTCTCTGTCTAATCGCTTTAGTCGCTCGCCTCAGTCGCTTCAGTCGACAGGCGACTCAGGCGACTGAAGCGATCATGGTCACGTGGTACTTNGTGGTACTTTAATCCGACGAAATCCATGGATCGCTTAGCTAGCCTAAGGATCCCCTTCTGCTATAAGAGTTATGATAATGCTCGACCTGTCAGGGCGCCGCCTGGTCTTCACTATCTCCCGTGGTAACACGTGATTCGTGACACTAAGCTAGAAATCTTAAAAGTACTTTATTATACTAATAGAATAGATCTAGATCTCTATTAAAGGCTCTATTTCGAAATAATTCTAGACTTTCTAGATAACGAAAAGCTAGATTTAATAGACTGGGGTTTAAAATCTACTTCTTTTACTAGCTATATACTCTAGGAGTACTTATTAACTTATATTTATACCTACTCTACTCTAGTAGATCTAAGAGTATAATTAGGAAGGTACTAAAACGAAACCGAGTAGGTTATATATAAAATTAGGTAGTGTTCGTATCTTAGAGCCGAAAAGGTATAAAAGGGGCGGATTTTAGTTAGGCGGTTAACCGGGGTAGTCGGTTATCCCGGGCGGACGAGTATTCCTAACTCGTGTTAAAAACGCGGACAGCCGAGAACACTAAAAAACTACGAAATTAGGAACTTAAGAAAATAGCCCGCTTATATTATAGAACAACCACGCCTCTAGGACTTATATGCTTTGGGGAGATTAATCCTTAATATCTTTCTAGTAGTTGTATCAATTTTTTATATAACTTAGTAGCGCTTATTTGTTATAGTCTAAGAAGGGGTAAAAAGTCGATTCTTGCGACCACCAGCGACCGTGAGGCAGGATAGCGGGGTAGGTCTTGGCGTGCGACCGACACAAAAGCCAGCTTTTTGCCCTTCCTTAAATCACTATGTAACAACACCCCTAGAGTATATAAAAAGTCGATGCACTTACTAAGAATCTGCTAATATTTACTCCTGAAATAGGGCTAAAGCCCTAGATACGTGGTTGTTGTGTTATATAGGGGAGGTTATCCTACGATTCCGCGTTTGCACTTTTTTTTTGGTGTTCCTGAAAATCACGTTTTTGACGTGAGTTGGGAATATGGCTGTAAATGTACACCCCGCCATCTGATAATTACGCACCTTCCCAAAAACAGACTTGCGTGCCAGGCGTATTTCTGCGGTCTTGCAATGACAGCTTCACTTGTTTTCCTTCCCATGGCATTGCTTGAAATATGTCAAGTCCACGTCATTCAATTCTTTGGCACTTCCTTTTCTTATCAATTCCACGATGGAAAAGGCCCACGAATTAGTCATATCCGTCAACAGAAATCTGGGACGTGGTTGCAGGAATCAGGATGTGGTTTGACCTGATCTATCTTTACAACAACAAATGCGTCAATGTAGAAGAGGAAACGTAGGAGGAATCTTGATTTCTTTACTCCCAAATGACTTAATACAGCATCGCTATTAGGTATGTGTCTCGGTTTCTTCATTAATTTATGACATCTTATCAGCAATCTGCTTGTGGTTGAGATGGCATGTATCATTTCAGCAACCACAAGCAGCTGAACAAGAATACAGGAAGGGCTATAAACAGAGCACTCAGGACATTTGGTCCCAGAAACTTCGGTCATATCTCAAAGAGGGGAAGACTTCTTCAGTTTCTTCTTATAACAAACAGTTACTACTTCAAGTTTATGTCATGTCTCCTGAGAAGCCAATCAAAGTCCAAGCTAAACTTTTCAAGATAAACCCTGAGGGTGGCTTCAAATGTCTGAAGTACAAAGTAGAGTTTGGATATGTCTCGGTCAATACTCAATCTGCTCATACCCCTCAGGTCAAAACTGGGACCAAAAGGTTCTTAATGAACAAGTTGATGCAAAAACACAAGCCCCAGCACGATAGTTGGAGTACAGATTACAACTCTACTATCATTTCTGCCGGGCCTCTTTGGCCCGCGAGGTCCTCGCCCGAAGAAAATGTATTGGAATTGGTTCCCTCGATCAAACTCTCTGTTGGCAAAGGTAAAGAGGTTGATATTGAGCCTTTAGCTGATTTTCTTGAAGGCACCTCTAAATCTGACCCAACGTCTTTGTTGCATGTGTTCAACATTATTTCCTGGCAAAAGATTCATAATAACGATCGATTCGGAAAATTGGAGAACTGCTTCTACCCTGTTCAAGACGAGACCCTGAATGCCGAACTGTATCTTATTCGGGGTGGATTTTTCTCTTCTGTGCGTCCAGCCAAGGATAATCTCTTTCTCAACGTCAATCCTGTCACCTCTGCATTCTACAACCACCACTTGAACCTCGAAATTGGATCAATAAATGCTGGGTTACACGATTACCAAAAACCAATCCTGAGCGTTCTCAAATTTTTGGAGCAAGCTCAAGGGAGTGAAGGTTACTCTAAGCCTCCTCCCAGATAGCAAGCAATTTACAGTGTGTGATATCAGCGACAACGATATCATGGACCAGCCTCTTAGAAAAAACGGTGCAAATGGAGGTGTCAGAAATCACTTGAAAACAGGTAAGTTTAGCCTTGATCTAAAAAATGGAGTTGCTGAGTCGTTACATAGAGTACCCTGACTACGAACCCAAGAAATCGTATTGTATAAGCGTCGGAAAGTTCAAAGCCATGGACGGCAACAAGATCAAGGATGAGAACGATATCTGGTACCCATCCGACCAACTGAGATTCGTCCCATGGCAAGCGGTAAAGAAGACTATTCGAAATGAGCTTTCCCAAGACATCTTGAAATATGCCACTTGTCCCCCAGTCAGAACCATTCAAAAGATCGAAGAAGGCATGAAGGAATTTAACAATGACGGTTTCTACAAGGTAATATGAATTTGAACACTCCAAAACAACTACAGAAGCTAATCTCATAACCAGAATTTCGGATTCGCGCTAGAGCGATCTACGACGAAATGTGACGCTTCAGTTCTGTTTCCTCCAAAACTGAAACTCTCACCGCAAGTACCAAAGCAGGTAATCAACGGCAGCTGGAATTTTGATAACCAGACAAAGTTCTTCCAGGGACTTTCCGGCAAAACAACTGATATGGTCGTAGTAGTCGTCAATCAAACTGACACTGCTAAGGTTGAAAAGCTCAAAGGTTTAACAGACAAATTGTTTGAAACTTACAAAATACACGCCTCGGGAAGTACGCTCAAGAGAATCGCCTGTTTCACCATTACAGTGCCCACCGACGGGAGAACTGACAGCTATAGAGAGCTTTGCCAGGAGGCTTTTCAATCTAATAGAAAACCTAACAGTATAAATGATTTGATGATCATCTTTATACTGCCGAAAAAGGACACCGATATCTACCCAGAGGTCAAACGCTGGGCTGATTGCCAAGTTGGAATACCTTCAATTTGCGTGACGTCTGAAAAGCTCACGAAATCCGAGAATGATTCCAAGATTCGCTCAAACATGTGTTTAAAACTACACCTCAAGCTAGGGAGAGTAACTCATCAAATTGTTCCCACAGGTGCTGGTAGTAGCCATATGCTTGGGGCAGAGCCAGGAACCATGATAATGGGAGCAGATGTGACACATCCCGGCGCAAGAGTAGGGACCTGTCCGTCGATGGCTGCCGTCGTGGCAACTGACGATGATGTGTCAAGCCAGTATCTTGGGTCAGCACGATTACAAAAAAGCAAGCAGGAGGTAATTACAATCTAGTAGGAAAAGAAATGAACCATAGCTGATTATTCTAGTCTATTGATGATCTAGCTGGGATGGTTGAAGAGCGTGTTATTGCTTGGTTCAACAAGGCTGGCGAGGCAAAATCAAGCCTAAGATTGCCAGCTAATATCATCTTCTATCGAGATGGGGTCAGTGAAAGCCAATTTAAGACCGTTTTGGATTCGGAAAAGAAGCAAATCATGGACGGGTGTCGAGCTGCAACCAAGGCCCTGCTTCAAGATCAAGACGCTAAACTTACAACGAAGGAGCAGGCCTGGAGCCCCAAGTTGGCTCTACTGATCTTCATCAAGAGGCACCATGTTCGCTTTTACCATAATGACAAAAGCGATCTGGCAAAAGGCAACCTCCCATGTGGAACCGCTGTCCACAAGACGGTGGTTCTTCCAAACTACCAAAACTTCTATCTCCAGAGTCATTCGAGCGATTCAAAAACAACTGCGCGAAATGCCCACTATGTGATTCTTCACAATGATACACAATTGAAATTGGACAGGCTTGGTGCCATTGTAAGATATTCGACCACTCATTCATTCCCTACTAACGGCCATAACACAGACCAACAACATTTGTTACACTGGAGCCCGGGCTACCAAAGCACTCTCTGTCTGTACTCCTGCCAGATACGCTGATCACCTTTGCGATCGACTCAGATACTACATGAAGCCTGTCATCGAGGGGAAAGCTGAATATACCTGTACGTCATCTGATTATCTTAAGGTTCGAGAGAAAGACGAGAGAGTTTGGAGGCCTAAAGGGGCAGAGACACAGCGGAAAAATCCCTGGCACAAAAAGCTTGACAACTCTATGTTCTATCTCTAGACATTTTTCTTAGTATCTTTTTTCTCATGGTTTTATTCCCTTTCTTCTCTTTTCATTTTCAAACTTTCTTTACTAACTCTCACTTATTTTCCTCTTTGCATTCATTTATCTTTCGAAGTTCCGAACTCCTGGTAATGTTTCTTCGACAGACCTCTTGTCTCTGCTGCTTAATACAGAGAGATATTTCTTTATTGTTTCTGGTCTTTGCGCGCTGAAGTCTTGAGCCTAACCTCGTTTGGTTGGTCTGCTTATGTATGGTTGAGCGAATTGAAAGTTACTCGGTCTTTGATGTGAGTTGAAATTCTCAGGGGTTTGATTGTACGCTGAAGGATGAGCCGTAATACAAAGTCGTTGTGATGATGGATTGTAGTGTCTTTGCTGTTGTTGTTTGTTGGATTCATCTTGAAGAGCAACTCTTAATAATTGGAATGGATAACCATTCTAGCTTATACTTTCGGTTGCTTTTCGTTCTTCCAGATACAATAATGTAGTTGAGTTTATATAGGTAGTCCGCTTTAGTATATGTTTAAGAGTAGAGGTATTTATGGTTAGTTGTTGAATCAGGGTTTGACTCGCATAATACTCCCAATCGGGAAGCGATTGAGGTTATCACCAAATTGCCAAGGAGACGTACGTGAAACTATCCCCACGCCCGCGCCGTACGCGTAGAATATTCGGGTTATAGTTGCGCACTCAGCCTTTTTTTGACGTCTGATGTGTTTCTGTCGTTCATCTCTTCCCGTTACGTTTGATTCAATCATTTTTATATGTGGGAATACGCCGTCTTATGCTGCGTGTCAGCGACAGGTATTTCGGGTCGCTCTCTACGGACTCCGTACGTGCGGATCTAACGGTCGGTTTCCCCTAAACGTCGGTATGCTTTATATCTTCCAGATTGGGTTCTTATCTCATTTAAGGGAGCCCGACTTGGATCTTGGCCACTCATTCTCGTCCAGCACACTCGCTAACTACCGTGCAGGAACTGACCCAGAAGTTTTTCCGTTTGTCGCTTTTCGTGCATGCTCATGACGTCGTCTGTTACCACCTATCAAGGTCGATATCGCTCTCTGACCAGGCCTATTTTGCGGTCACGATAGTATCATCTAGAGAGCTCCAAATTCCGCACGTTTGAGCTATGTCTATGTGTTTCATTTACAGACCAAATGTGCATTGTGCACTCGCTGCGCAATCTGAGTTTGAAATGATCTCTCGGACCCGTACAAAATCTATATTGGTCCAGCTAAGCTGCCGAACGCGAGAGGCTCATAAGCATTACGACGAAGAGGCTCGGCAGTCGTTCCATGTTTTCGTCGCCCATCATCCCATGTTTGTCACATCCAATGGCGGTGGTCGTGTGCGTTTGCCATGACAATGACACTGCAAATCACTGCAGACTCAAGGCTCCGCGACTAAGTACTTTTCGCTAATTCCGCTCCGGAGCTTTTGCAGCGGTGACCGGATCAATCCAAAATACGCTTCTTTCCAAGCTCACCCCCCGGTGTGTAACTCACATTCCACCTACAATTGGATGGGATGAAATGGGCCTGTCAGATGTTGCCCATGACTGGGAACAACCCCACACGACACAATTCCGTTCCTGGTAAGTCGGGTAGGTGAGTTAGGTTCGGATATTGGGGCATGATGCCAGAATGCAGCCGGTAAACCTGATGGGCACTGTTTTTGGATTTCCCATGTTATGTTTTTTTCCCTCATCTTCATCTGTTTCCCTTTTCCTCTGAAGGGACTTCGAAGCTCCTTCCTCTTCCCCTGTTCAACCCTTCTTCTCTTCTCTCTTGTGCTGTTTTTCTGCTTTTGCTGAGGTCAACTATCCTTCGTCATGATGTTGGGGGATATGACTCGCGCCATTGGGCGTTTGCCCCTCCATATCTACAGGACGTTGCTCAACCGGTCAGTTTTTCCTCGTGCGCATTTGCGTCAATGTGAACTTCAGTAGACTTTTGCTGATATGGAATAATAGACATTCGTTTTTTGGTCTACTCAGGTGTGTTTCCTTGCGTATCCGGAATTGACAATCAAAACTCTTGCTAAGATGGGGTGGTGTAGACATATACTCATCAACATGGCGTTTGTTCTTATTTGGATCACCACTTTCAAGAATGGTATGCGCACAACTTGACAAAGCCTTCATCAAAGAAGAAATCTAATTTCCATGTTCCAGCATATCGAATAGACGCCTCTATCCGACCCAAGATCCGAGTAAAATACCTCGAAGAAGCGGATAAAAGGATCTTTGACTTCACATTCGAAGGACTGTGCGTCCAAAGTATATTCTCTATCCTCGGATACACCTGGATGTACGCTCTCACCCGGCGCTCCAAACTCTCCATACTAGCAGCCCTCCCACCTTTTGCACTCAACCTCCTCTACGCAGGAACCCACACTCTTTGCGCACCTCTAGATGTATTCGTACGTATCCCCTGATTCCACAATTTCGAGTCTGGTCTAATTTGTATATGCAAATAGGCATGGCTTTCCTACGGCGTGATCCACTTCATCTCCCCTTTCCTCGCCGCCTTCTGGCTGTGGCTATTCGCCTCTCCAGGTGTGGTATCCATCTTCGCATGGAGTTTTGGGATCCAAAATTGCTTGGGGATAATGACGCATCTCTCCTTCCCGACCGCAGCACCGTGGTATGGGGATCAATACGGCTATCCTCTTCCACCAGGGAACTACAGCATGCCTGGTTCCGCCGCAGGACTCGTGCGTGTTGACAAAGTCCTCGGGACACACATCTACCAAAACGCATTCAAAGCCAGTCCACTCGTCTTCGGAGCATTTCCGAGTCTGCATGGGGCATTTAGTTGCTGTTGTTTCTTTTTCGTCGCAAGATATAGCCGAAGAGGGGCGGGGATCCTGGGTTTCTACGTGTTGTGGCAGTGGTTTTCTACCATGTATCTACGACACCACTGGCGGCTCGACTTACTGGGAGGCTTGATCTACTCCGCCTTTGTCTTCTCCATTTTCTACCGGAGTCTCCAACGCATGGATAAAGCCTATGCCCTCGGCGTCTCGGGCGGCAATGGATGGCAGCGGTTATTCGAGGGAACGAGGTTGCAACATGTCTTTGATGGGCAAGCCGGGTATGCACCTGTATTCTCATCACCGAGGGAGGGCAGTTTAGATTTTGATATGCGGGAACGAGATTCGGATTCAGATACAGACTTGGAGCAGGGGTGGGTTGATGACCTGGGGTTTACTTGGAAGAGCAAAATTCCTTCTACGCGCGAGATTGTGGTTACGGGGAAGTGAGAGGGTTACCGGGGATAAAAAGGGGTTTGTTGCTGACGAGGAAATGATCTGTATACGAATATCGTTGTTTGGGACTCAGGCAGGTATATCGGTGTTCGGTGTACGGAGTATGGGATACAGAAAAGAGGCGCGGATGGGTGTATGTATACGCGCGGCTTTCTTCGGATTGGGCGGCGTGAGGTTGTTTATTTGAGCCTTTTTCTTTTCTCGGAATGCTCGGATAAGCAACGCAACGCAACGCAACGCAACGCAGTGCAGCAAGGGATGGGATGGGATGGGATGGGAAGCTTGCGGGGACGGACCGACCGTAAATTTACCTGCGGAAATATAATTGCACTTTAATTTCTCGGTTCATATTTTTTTCCGGGTGGAGAGAGTCTAGAAAGCTTGTTTGTGTGAAGTGGAGTGGTTGGATTGTAAATAAAGAGGGTGGACTTGGAGTCGTACTGTACTCGTACATTGCAAGTTGATGGAACAGTACTATCACACCAGCCCGGTATGCTTCAGCCCTAAGATACTTCGTCCTAGGCGAGTTAGATGTACCATTTCCAGGGGTTTTACCTTTTAAGTTACCTTCTAGAACGAAGTACCTTTCCCATAAGCTGTGGAACACCTGACTTGACGGTATAATAGTGCTGGAGTCAGCAGGAAAGTAAAAGCTATTCGCTACGTTAAAAGTACTTGAGAGAATTGAGCAGTAACTCTTGGAGTAGCCAGGGAGCGACATTCTATCCCCTTATACAAGGGTTGGCATCGTTAAATCTATAACATAGTCTAATGAGTATTCTAACTAGCCCTCCTCAGTCACTTTATTAATCCTCGGGAGATGGGCTAATAAGACAGCCTACGAGTAAGGTAGTAAGTAGCAAGTTAATTCCTGATTCTCCCTTTTGACTTGAGACTATTAGTGACTTATCGAAAGTCATTCAACGCTCCTGGGAATATTATCTTAGCCGCTGGTTTTACACATTGCCGCTTTTTGTTCATGCTTCCTTAGTTCGTTCTACTATGATTTGCTTAATAAGGGATGCGAGCTGGTGGTCAACGGAGAGGGTTTGGATGTGTTTTGATGAGGTAGGAATTATATTTGGCGATACTAAAGAGCTTGGTGGGAAGAGTGTTTACTATATATGGTTTTCTTGTTGAGGAAACGAGGAAATGATGGCCTGTTTGGCTCGGGGTATAGGATTGTACTCTATTCGGCGCATTCGCTAGCGTATCCCGGAATAGATAAAACTCAGTAAAACTCTATTCGCGTAGAGTTACAGTCGATAATATATTCGAATCAATACAATTTAGATTAAGAATATTACTGTATTATATTCAGACGTAATTCTATTATCTGCACGACGTCTTCATGATTCGTATATAAATGTATGCTTTTACCTGAACATGTACTGTAATTATACACGTAGACAGTGGTAGATAGAGCGGTAGTGTTTACTCGCATGTTAGGTAGGATAAGCGAGTTATAGATTCAGAGTCAATAAACAAGGACTTTGCGTTACCTCTATTCTATATGGTACATTCCGAATAAAGCCAGAGCTCAGAGTGGAATTTTCTTTACATCCGATGTACAAGCTAAAAATTCCGTGTACTCGTCCCAAGTTATCATTTGCCAACAGGGTGGAACTCTAATTAGTATGGTGGACCCTGAATGTACACCCTGAACCAAACATGCCGTCACATATGACCTGCTTGACAGGCGGTAGCTTCTCAAGCTTAGATGAATTTGGTGGGCGAGGTACTAAAAAAACGACGAGTTCATAAGGGTATTCCATGTTTAATTTCGCGTACAGTACAGTAAAAGTATATTCATATTTTGAGGGAATATCAGATATTGTTTGGCATTCTTTGTATTTTGGCTAAGGAGTCTACTGTTTGCTGCGACTTAAGTATATATAGGTGAGTCGGGAGATATTATGGATGGAATATGATAATTTGCGATTGAACTAGAGGGAGAATTGTTACGAGATAGAAGGGGGACAACTCTTCAATTTGTAAATTAGGGTATAGGTAGGTATTAAATACGTAGAGTTAGCGCTAGCGTTAGTGGGTAGTGATTGAATTGCAAATATGTCAATAAGAAATATACATTATTGATTATAAATACCTAAACTCGAAAAATAGTTTTTAATTACTCTTCGCATCTGGGACATATCTTGCTCTCCAAGTCACGAGACCCCTCGTATTTCGTATTCACCACCCAACATCCCTCCCAAATTCCTATTGGTCAATCCCTCCATCCACACCTCCTCCACATCTCCATCCCATGTAAAACCCGCCATCACACCTCCACCAACCCACCCCAAGATGCCACCCCGTCCCCGTACATGCTTCCTAAAACTCAGGCCCCCCTCATCCCCTCTTCCTCTCATTTCAATCCGTCACTTCACCTCCTCCCCATCAAGTTCACCCTCTCCCCTAGCAAACCAGAAAATCCTCATCACAGGCGCATCCCGCGGAATAGGGCAAGCAATCGCCACCCGCTTCGCCCAAGAAGGGGGGCGCTGCATCTTAGTAGGTAGGAACCGCGCGGTATTGGAGGAGGTGAAAGGGGGCTTAGCTTGTGTTGGGGATGGGGGTCGTGAACATGAACATGAGATTGCGGTTGGGGATGTAGGACAGGAGGGATTTTGGAGGGGGGGATTTAGGGGGAGGGTTAGTTCTTGTTTTTTTCTCTTTCTGTCTTTTTTAATCTTTTGACGTTTTATTCTTACTATCTTCTATGTTTTGCGCTGGGAAACGTGATCATAATGAGAGAGCAGGACTAACAAAGATGAATAGAAAGATGTAACACACCTCATAAACGCCGCGGGAATCACGCATTCCTCTCCGCTGTTCACAACTCAAGTCTCCTCTCTTGAGTCGGTGATCCAGACGAATCTCATGGGCACCATGTTAGCATGTCGGATTGTCGGATTGGGGATGTTGAAGAATAAACAGGGTATGTAACTGTTCATTTCCCATCCTTCTCGGTTTTGTATTCTCATATTCTCATATTTCATTTACGCTTCAATTGCCTTCTATTCAACCCTCTCACCCCCTCATTTACCGTCACGCATCCGAAACAGCTTTCTTTTTCTGGGCTGAAGAGAGATAGAGAAGAGAAATTGATACTAAGAGAAGATAGGCTGCATCATAAACATCGCCTCCCTCCTCGGTCTAAAAGGCGGCCGAGGAAGCTCGGCGTATGCAGCAAGTAAAGCAGGAGTAATAGGTAAACTATCTTCCCACTCACAAACCAATTCCCCTCTAATAGAGAGAGCTGCGCCCCCACCCAAGAGAAACTCTAAGGACTGACAAAAACCAGGCTTCACACGCGCCCTAGCAGCCGAAGCAGGCGAGAAAGGAATCCGAGTAAACGTAATAGTCCCGGGATACATAGAAACAGACATGATAACCGGTACGTCCACATTAATCTTCTACTGCCACGCAAACACTCTTTTGTCTCAACATATTCGGTAGAAGCACTTTTGAAAATACACTTTCCCTTCTCAAACTTTTGTATTTTCGTCTACCTACCATGCATGCTATCAGAACCATCCTTATTCCGTCTGGTCAGTATGCTAAGAAAACCACCCCCTCTAATATACAAACAGCTATGCCCCCCTCAGCACGCGCCACCGCCCTCAACGCCATACCCCTGAAACGTTTCGGTACCCCCTCGGAGATAGCAGACGCCGCCCTCTTCTTAGCCACCAACGCATATGCAAACAATTGTGTTCTCAATCTGGATGGTGGATTGAGTGCCATGTGATCACTCATATGTCGCAAAAACAAGGAAGGAAGAGGAAAAGAAAATATATTACAATGAATTTTTCGGGATTCATATCCATTTCAACCCACACCCATAGACGCCGGGTATTTCTGAGGTGTAATTTTAAGGTATGTGGGCGGTTTGGATGGACATTGGTGTATCAGTCATCGTCGATGACGATAGCACCATCTGTATCTTCCACGATTATGATATCGTCATCGTCTGGTACAGCAGTCTGAAGCTTTGATCGCTTAGCTTGATGCTCGGCCTCTTCGACTTGTGAGATGGTTCGCTTCTTGATTGGGGAGGAGCCACTTGGTTCAGATACGTTGCCATTGCCGTTTGTGACAGAAGGCTCCGCAGCGTGAACACCATTTCTATTACTTGAACTTGAAGGCTTCTTCCTGGGGATTGGCGATTGAGGCTCTTGTGATTCTGAACCGTCGGTGGGCGCAGAAACTGGTGGTGGGAAATTTACTGCTTGGATGGGCTTGCCATCTACTGTGGTTCTGTACGGGTGTTAGAGAAATAGGCGAATATATCACTATGTTAATGGACCTACGATTCCTGCACAATGAGCTCCAGATTGACCCGTGGATTGTCGTCATCTTCATCAATGATTGTCAAGAAGGTATCACCCCCGATGCCTATAAACTAGAATTAGTAGATTTTACAAGAATTGAAATTTAGCACATACCGAGTTCACCAAATGTCTTGGTCAAGTTTTCGGTTTCTTCGACATCGTAAAGTAAATCGGATCCCTTGTTAACAACAATCTCTTCACCGTAACCCAACTCCAGTCGTAAGAAGTCCTCAACCAGATTTCCTAAAGTGGCCCGAGTTGTATCAACAAGAAGTGACGTATACGCAACACTGCATACTGGGCAGTCGGGATTTGGAGGTCGGCTAACATCTGAGGCAAGCAGTCGTTGGGAAGCGAATGGTGAGAGATATGTCTTTGAGGAGGATTGTTAGAACTTGGGCTTTGCGCGTAGCGGTAATTGAGATGTAACTTACCTCCTTAACGACGGAATAATCGCCTCGAAGAACCTTAAACGATTGCAAGACACACAGACCAGCAACTATAGCATTGGTGGTTGCAATGGCCGGAATGATATTTCCCGCCATCTGCTTGATGTCAAATCGAGACTTACATTCAATGCCAAAGACTATTGATCGCAAATTTGCGCTTGCTGTAACGAAATCCAGGGTATCTTCATCATCTTTATCGAATGTGATGACTGGCTGAGCCGAATCACCATTCGCGGCAGCTTTCATGGATTCCATTCTCTTACTCAATCGGTCCAGACTTGTCAAGGTTAGTATCCGCGTTTAGGGTTGGAATATAAGATAAGAAACTGACCTGTCTTTGAAAACAACCATATTCTCCTCAAGTGTCCAGACTCTTTGACCATCCTTCAATATTTCTTCAGTTGTTCGCTGGCTACCCGTCTTTTGCTCGATAATACCTGCATAGCTTAACGGCTGAGGTGGTCGTCGGGTCTTCCACATTTCTTCCATTGAGCGCAAGCGATTGATATCATCTTGATATACTTTATCGAATAAAAGTTGTGGAAAAGCTGATGTACCCATAGATTCTCTAATATTTTTCAAAGCCTCAGCTTCCTGACGTAACTTCTCGATCTCCTTGGCTGTGAACTTTTAGCAGAGTCGTAATATGTAGTGCGTTTGAGGTATGGCCGTACCATTTTCCGAGTCTTCCGAATTATCAATCTGTGCTAATTCTTCCTCACTAGCACCGAAAATTTCACTACAAAATGTTAGATTTGAAAAGCTGGGTCAAGGGAGCAAAACCAACGTCAATAGGTAACTCTTTCCCCATACAATGCAATGAATTGGCTGACTTGGTGTACTTCGAATTGTGCATACGGGAAAACTCTTTGGAGTTTCTTTTGCTGTGCAATCATAACATGCCGTAACACCCTTCTTGATGACCTGAACTTGACCATTGAAACCAGTAGTGCCACTCTCAATTAAAGGAATGTCCGCTGCCAGGCACATTCTGTTTACATGCCTTCTCGCCTCCAAGTTATCCAGAGCATTGAAAACCATAGTGAACCCTTTGAACCAGGCAACATTGAATTGGGGGTCCTTGATGTTGGCATGGTGAGCCTCGATTTTTACATCTGGATTGAACGCATGCGCCGCCTCTTTCGCAACCTGTTTACCATATGTGTTAGCTCCGTATGATCGCAGATGACGATAGGTGACCAACCAAAGCCTTCGATTTCTTTATATGCTCATGGCGAAAGAGGAATTGTCGATTGAGGTTGCTGAGATCAATGGTGTCCAGGTCAACAATATGGATGTCTCCAAATCCCGTAAGAACCAGATTCTTGAGAAGTTCGCAGCCAATTCCTCCAGCTCCTACCATCAAGATTCGAGCCTATGAAGTATATATTAGCCATTGATGTTTTCTGTGAAGGCACGCGCGCAATCCACAACTCGTCTGCATCACTAAGCATCCTCCAGTCCTCAGAATGCGCAATGAAAGGATGCCAGAGGCAAAAGTGACCATATCCCAACCGCTAGTCCCAGCTCTTCAATTCGAGAGATATTCCTCCATGAACTGCGCAAAGCAGCGCAATTTTTCCGTTGGGGGGATCTGAAGCTTACCTCCTTCACCAGGGCGTTTGTAGGGGTGCCCAGGGATTTATGGTAGGATTGATCGCGCCTCGTTGGTTGGACCATTTTGGCGGCTCGCAGAATGTGTGTGTAAAGCCAGAAAAAAAATCAAAACTGAAGGCTTAGAGAGAATATATTGTTTTCATGGAGAAGTGGTGAATTTGAAGTTGGAGAAAGTTGCGATGCGATGCGACAACCAACGCGATCTACCTATGTACGGAGAGGTCAGCGCGCGATTACCTAGCTGCTGCAGTCAACTCTTATCGATGGCGCACGGACCCATCTTGTGTCACCTCCGAGTTGATGATATAAAATGTCCCAAAGAAGCAACACAAACACGCAAACGCATGAGAAGAATTCGAACTTCAGAATGTCTGATTCCGAGCCAGACAACGATCTCCTGGATTTTCTAAGGGATCATTTTGCTCAGAAAAATGCACCAGCCATTCCAAAAACACATGTGTTGGAGGGAGCGGAATATGTGTATGACAACGCCATTGACGTTGCCCTGGACTCCCAAGCAACCATTGCTGCAGCAGCCATGATCTATTCCCAAATGGAGAAGAAGGAATACTCCACCAAGAATTGGGCATCACATCCATTTCATCCACAGTCCAAGGACGAGAGCACGGTAGATTTTATTTTCACAATGGATCTTTTGAACTTCTCGTTCTGGTCCGAGCGAGATGACGAAGAACGCTTTGCTATTGAGTATCAAGGGGAGAAGTGGACTGGATATGCAAGTTTGGTTGCCGCTCTGCAACGAGCTCTTGAAGAGGGTTCGTTGTCAATTAGCTCCTTGTGGAAATCTTAATTGACTTTCATCTGTCCCAGGTATTCCCATCACTTCCTCGGATTTCTGGCAAAATCAAGACGAATGTACAGACGAGGTTCTACAACATGTTTTCAGGAGTGCCACAGATGAAGAAATACCCCTTTTTGCGGAAAGGGTAAGATGTCTACGAGAAGCAGGTCAAATACTTTACGAGGTGAGATGCAATATTCCTTGGCAAAAGTAAGTTGCCGCTAATTGCTTTCCGTAGAAATACAATTGCAGCTTCACAGGGTGTATTGAAGCTGCCAATCACTCTGCGGCTACATTGGTCAACATACTTGCAGACGATTTCCCTTGCTTCAATGATGTTATGTCCTATGAAAACCGCAAAAGCGTCCGCTTCCTTAAGCGAGCCCAGATCTGCGTTGCAGATATATGGGCAGCTTATGATGGCGAATCTTATGGAGAGTTCCATGATATCGATACCTCCATCACCATCTTCGCAGACTATAGAGTACCACAAATACTCAATACGTTGGGGTGTTTGTGGTATAGCCCAACTCTCCAAAGTGCAATAAACCAAAAGCAGATCATTGAGAGTGGTCACCCCTGGGAGATCCAGTTGAGAGGTTTGCGTACCATTTTCAATACTTGATTATTGCTGACATCTATAAGGTTGTAGTATTTGGTGCGTTGAATTAATTCGCAAAGAGATTCTCAGGAAGAACCCAGCTGCGAAGGTCAACGCCATACTGATTGATTTCTTCCTTTATGATACGATGAAAGAGAGAGAGGCAGCAGGGCAAGAGACAATACCCCATCACAGGACCAGAAGTATTTGGTACTGATTGAACAGTCTGGAAAAGTTTATACCTGCTTTTAGAGAAAGACAAAAGTCAATTCACTCTTAATAATTGTGTGATGTAAGTCTTAAGATTTGCTCGTAAATATATCCCACTTCTTTTGGGTATGTTTTGGTTATTTGATGAGGTTGGTTCTCGTAACAATAACCAGATACTACTACTGGTGAATCGGACTTTGGTACAATAGCCATTGGCTAGCGCTCTTCCCCCCTGTAGCTGGGGTCGTACATGGACTAGCGTAGTTCACTTTCAGATCAACCTCGCTTCTTTCACAAAAGTCACAAACTCCACTTGCCAACTACTCCATCGAGGACTAACCCAGAACGAATCGTCCAACATCCGCCAAGAAGATCAACAATACTTGCCTCGTGTATCTGACGAGTGTGCAAAAGCGCCAGCTCCCTTGATAGCAACAGATTTGTGTCTTGCAAGGAAATCCGAATCATCTCCATATCCTGCCTCTCCCAGAATTCTCTGGTCGCTTTCTACAGGTAATTCATTAGGCATACATCACATCGGATCCTTATACTGATCTGTCAGTTACAGAAGCCAGATCGGATAGTGTTGTTTGGCCACGTTGGTGAATATGGCGTCTAATCAACTCTTTGGAGAGCTTCTCAGTGAGCTTCCTGCTGCACTGGCACAACATGAAGACACCTTCCAACTACCCCAAATGTCTATTCTGCCTCACGATAATCCAGTAGAAATGGATTATACCCTAACGACCTATGGGGGTCAACCTCACTACCTCACATTCCCATCCAGCAGCCATAACAGCCAGGTAATCTCCCCCCTCCTCAATTTACAACAAAAGACCCAAACATTTATGTCTAGATCAACCAAAACCCTTCAGGAGCCACTCTAACCTTCTGGTTCTTCCCCACTGAAATCAGAGAAATGATATTTTCCTTCGCCCTCTTCCCAGCCCATCTCGCAAAACACGGAATGCACCATGTAACAGCCTACTCAAAGCACCCACTACTCGTCGCGCTGCGTGGAGACACACAACTGTACTCCGAAGCAATCGAGGTCTTCTACAAGCTCAACACGGTATTCTACACGATCGACTACAAGGATTTCTGTGGTCCAGGTGAACTCGAGCGCGTTAAGAAAGTGAGACACCTTGGGGTCGATCTGTCGTTCGGGTAAGTTCCCTCTTACCCTTGGATTACAGAGATGATGATAAAGATGGAGATGGAAAAGATGCTGATAAGAAAAAAGTTACAAGGAGTTTCAAGCAGATAATATCTACTTCATATTCGGGCACGGCGGCACATGCAAATACCCACACATCTCCAAATACCTACAATTTCTCCTCATCCGCGATCGCATTTCATGGATACACTCCCGCTACCGAGTCTCCGGCAACCCTCCAAAGCCCCAAGAAGTCGACCAACCGCGTCAATCCCTTCTACTTACCGCCCCTTCCCTCGAAACCCTCTCGCTAAATCTACACCACGAAAGCGACGGGTATTGGAACGCCTACCTAATAGTGAAGGAAATGGCAAACCACTGCGAGAAATTAAGACGTGTCACGCTTAATTTCCACAAAAAAATGCCGTGGGATACTGATCAAAGTCGGCTCGATTGGTGGTATTTGAGATATCCTAATAACGCAGAGGGGCGTATGGTTGATGCACTTCATCATCTTGCTGTGCAGGTAACACATCTTTTTGGGAAGAGGGGCGTTGCGGCGAGAATCATTAATAGAAAGACGCGTGAGTATGTTGTGCAGTGGAAGTGGGAGGATCTGCAGGGAAAGGTTCTGGAACTCAACGAGAATGTGGTTGATGTTGATCGCAAGGAGTTTCATGATGGTGAGTGTCATTATGGAAAGTGTGGGGTGGATTGCCCGGGGAAGCATGGGGATAAACTAGTCTTAAAGGACTTTTTTTATTGAGGATTAGGAGGTTGTGTGATGTGGAGGGTGGTACGGGCTAAAACGGCATCCTGAATATACTAAAAGGTCGAATGGACTTAATACTAATTCGCAAATCGCAAATCTTATATTTTAATCCTATTTAGTACGAAATCGTAATTCGCAAATCGCAAACTGGCTCAGGGTTAGGGTTATATGACAGCTCTGGAATGCCTATAACACTAAACACCCACGTACTTAAGATGTGATTATGTAAACTCGCCACCTACTGTCGCTGTATCCTTACTGTCGCTCACTATCGCGCCCTCACATCCTTACTATCGCTACGCTCTTACTATCGTATTCTCGCCGTCGTTGTCGTATAAAAAAGAGAAGAGAAAAGTAGGAGGGAGAGAGCGAGGGAGAGGAAAGGTAGGTAGCAAACAATTGTTAGCGTAACACGTGCTACCCTAGCCGTTTTAGGAAGGTAGTATTCGGGCTGACGATAAGCGACGCGTAAAATATTTCCCCGCTTCTGGCCCTCTCTCTTTCTCTCTCTCTCCTAAACAACATACTAAGGCACAACCCTATTCGACAGTGAGGGTGCGACAGCGAGGGTGCGACAGTTAGTGAGGATACGACAGTGAGGGTAGGCGATAGCGAGGGTAGGCGATAGTAAGGATACGAGGTAGATGAGGTCTGATCGCACGTGAAGTTAAGTATTAGTGGGGGTGTGGGGGTATAGACCCTCTAGACCTCTGGCATAGTGGTAGTAAATATGACTTTTGCGATTTGCGATTTGCGAATTAGTATTTACTCTATCCGACCTTTTAGTACATTAAGGATGCCGTAGCTAAGAGAAATTGGAGTGGAAGCAAAGGGCGAGGATGAAGAACAAAAGGGCGACGATGAAGAATGAAAGGGCGACGATGAAGAATGAAAGAGCGAAAATGAAGAGTACGTGGTTAACGCGGCGAGTAAGAGGAACGCGGACGGTGGTAGGATAAAAAGGCTACGTGATCGTGATGATTTCCATGAAATGAACAACACACCTAAGCACGAATAAAAACCTACAAATTAGACTCCTTAATTCTACTACGCCCTTCAATCCTCCCAAAAATTCAAGATTTAGCCTTTTCTTCCCCTCTTTCTCTCCTTTCCCCTACACTATTCCTCTCTTCTTCCCTATCTCTCCCCTAACTACTAATAACTACTGCATTAACAAAAACAATACACCCTATATTGCCGAAAACCCTTTCTATTATAACTTAGCCCTAAATAACATTATAGATTTCTAAAGGCTATCTTAATACCTTGACTATCTATAATACTCTAGAAAAGTTACAGAGAAAATTCTATAAATTCTATATTTAACTTATAGTAAGTTGCGAATTAAGCTTAAATGGTTTAGTTTAGTTTGGTTCCCACTTTAATATATCTGTGCGTAGTAGGAACATAAATGTTTTCACGATTTTCACAACAACGTAAGAATAGTAACAATAAGAGCTATATTACCTTTACTTTACCCTTTACTATAAACTCTACCTACTAGTAGTACTCCGACAGCCCTTCCGACAGCCCTCCTAGTCCTCCAACAGCCCTCCTAGTGTAACGAATACTCAAACTGGCTAACTAAACTTGGCTGGGTGTTCGCTGGTTGGTATGCTATGATAAGAAGAAGACTATCGGGTTGTTCACTTGGAAGTGAACTCGTTACTTGTATCAAAGATGTCAAA